GTGGCGCAGTGGTTGAGAGTCCGCCTGCCGACGCAGGGGACGCGGGTTCGTGCCCCGGTCTGGGAAGATCCCACACGCCGCGGAGCGGCGTGGGCCCGTGAGCCATGGCCGCTGAGCCTGCGCTTCCGGAGCCTGTGCTCCGCAACGGAAGAGGCCACAACAGTGAGAGGCCCGCATACCGCAAAAAAAAAAAAAAAAAAAGCGATTAAAACTACAAAATGGGAGAGGCTTCTAAAGGTGAAATCCCCCAAAATGAGAAAATTTTTTTGTTAAGAATTGAAATCGCAGCTGGCAAGAGGTAAGAGCGCTTGTTAAGCAAGGATTGGTTGGGGTCCAACATGGTTGCATAGTTACGAGAGGAGACCTTGAGCCTTTCAAGGTTACAGCGGGCAGCCAGCAGCTATTGTTCTGAGAACAGCTGGTGGTGTCCTTGAGGCTGACACAGTCCAGAAAATTCAAGTTCTCAGTGATGTAGGAACATGCCTGAAACCATGTCCACAAAGGCCACCCAGATCCATTTCAAATGCCTGAACCGTAGTCACTCCCTTTTGATTTCGTAAACGCATTCTTTTCTTTAGTGGTTAAAGCATCTAGATGTACCCCGCACGTTTAATAGGCCACAGACAGGCTGTTTTGGTGGAGCCTGCAGCTCAGGGTGAACCACGTACAAGCCGGAATGACTCCCTCACACCTTGACCTGTGAACATTTCTCTTATCACTGCCCAGGGGACAACTCTGAGGGGCTGTCCTATTAGGGGGCTTCCCCACGTGGTTGACCTAAGCTGCGGCTCGCATCCCCACTCGACTTCTCTCTCCGCCCAGCTCTGCACACTGTGAGCCCACCCTAAACTCCACCTCCCGGTCCCTTCCCGGGGAAGGCCTGTGGTGGCCTCCTAGCGGCGGGCTCTCTCTGACACCCCTGAATAAAACTGCTACCCACACACCCTGCTTTGATCTTCACACCACTTTCCACCATCTGACATCCTATATGCCTGCCTGATTGTTTATTGATTACGCACCATCACTACCGCGCGTGCGCCCCAAGAGCAGGGGTTTTGGTCTGTTTTGTGGGTTGTTGTGGACCCGGCAATCTGTACACCACAGTCTCAGCGTGGGCTGCGCGCCTTTGAAGCCCCATTGGCAGAAGAGGAAACTGAGGCTGGGGAGCTAAGCCGCTTGCCCACGACCACCGGTGGGGACGAAGCCCCCTCCCCACGCCCCCAGCCTGGGCGGGGCTCCCCGGCCCTTAGGGAGGCTGTGCGCGGGACTGGCCCTCAGCCGTCAATCTCGCGCCCAGCGGCTGCCGAATGGAGCGCGCGGTGGCCCGGGGTCAGCTCAGGGGGTGGGGCGAGACGCCGCGGCCAATCGCGGGGCGCGAGGGCGCCGGGCCTCACAGGGCCCGTCTCCGATTGGTCATCTGCCATTACGCCACATCTTGGGGCGACCTGCTTGGAGCGCGCGGGTAGGAGCGGGTGCGGAGCCGGGCGCGGAGACTGGCGCTCAGGTAAGCGGGCCAGCTGCGCAAGTGTGAGACGCGCGCAGGGGAGCGGGGCGAGAGCAGATCCGGGGGCGTGCGCAGGTCAGGGGTGGGGTGGGTGCGCGCAGGAGCGTGGAGGGGGGCTAGTGCTCTGGCGAGGAGGAGATGCGTGTTCAGGTGGGCAGAGGCCGGAGATCTAGGGGCGCAGGTTGGCCACCCGAAGACGGCCTTTCGGAGATGCTCCGTCCCCCGGTGGTCGGGAGATCCCGGAGGAGCCGGGGCGGGGCGGAGCCAGGTGGGTGCTTCCTGGGCCGGGTGGGCCGGTTCCTTCCTCGGGTGCCCCGCGTGAGCGGATGCAATTTTCTGTTGAGGAAACGGGGATAATTTGTCTTTGCTCACCGAGAAGGTGGGGGCAGGTAGCAGGAGACTCTGAATTGCTTTACTAGGAATAGATTAATGGGGGGGGGAGGGGGGATCGATGCACGGCGGGCAGGGCAGGGAGTGCTCACAAAAGACCAAATGCACCCTCTTTTCTTTCCAGCCTTCCCGACTAACTTAAATAATGATGTATTGCCTCTTTCCTGGACATTTTATAATTTTATGAAAAAGGTTTTTTTAAAAAAATTAATTAATTTATTTATTTTTGCTGTGTTGGGTCTTCGTTTCTGTGCAAGGGCTTTCTCTAGTTGTGGCAAGCGGGGACCACTGTGCATCGCGGTGCCGCGGGCCTCTCACTATCGCGGCCTCTCTTGTTGCGGAGCACAGGCTCCAGACGCGCAGGCTCAGTAGTTGTGGCTCACGGGCCCAGCTGCTCCGCCGCATGTGGGATCTTCCCAGACCAGGGCTCGAACCCCTGTCCCCTGAATTGGGAGGCAGATTCTCAAGCATTGCGCCACCAGGGAAGCCCTGAAAAAGGTTTTTAAGGGTAGGAATTGCTCTGGTGAGATGCCCGACAGAAGGTAAAGAAAGGAGACAGGAAAGTTGGGAATGAGGAATCTGTTTATCAAAAATGGTGTGTGAGACCTGTTATTTACTGGGTGTTTCCTGAGTGTCCGGCACTGGGCTGGGTGCTTTGACCTTAATTCTCAGAACAACCTGTGTACTTGGCATCGCCCCCATCTTACAGATGAGGGGACTGAGGCTCCCGAGAGGTGAAGTGACATGTAGAGTCATGTACTTAGCGGCAGAGCCGGGGTTCAAACCCAGAGATACCGGCGACATGACTTTGGTTTGGGGGGAAGAGCCCCATCGGCAATGCCTGCATTTAGTAGGGGGGTGGGGTGGGGATGAGAAGCTGAGAAGCTTGGGGTTTGCAGAGGCCAGGTGGTGGTTGAGCAGCCCCAGGCACCTTGAAGGTCCCCAGGAAGGCGGCAGGAACGGGCCTGAGGAGGATGGAGTTACCCCACCTGCAGGACACTTGCCACTCAAAAACCAGCACGGTTTGCCAGGCAGAAACCCAGAAACAACCATGCGCAATGAATTCTTGGAAAACTTCCCACAAAATCCTTTTATGTAACTGCTGCTGCTAAAAAAAAAAAAAGCGGCAGATTTATGCAGCAGATCTACCTATTTCTGTAGAAGGTCTACCTAGTAGAAAGCTGCCTTCTAAGATCAGAGAAAGCGACGAAGTGAACTTACAAAAGAATTTAGAGGTAAACGAATTTGGGGGGAAAAAAGGAGGGAGAGTGGGTGTGTATCGTGTGACAAGTAGCTCATGAGACAATCCGGAGAATACACAGCAAAATCCAGTGACTCCAGGGGCTGGATTGAGGGGATTTGTTGTCTGACTTTCAAACTTATGTTGCAGTGACGGTGTTACAGTGAGCGTATGTTTTGCAACTTTCAAAAAACAGAAACCCTCTATCTGCAGTCAAAGCTGCAGTTTACCCTTTAGAATTAGAGGTCAGCGTTTCTGGAATTTCCTTCCAGGGCTCACACGTATTTCTGGAGGCCTCAGAAGCGCCCCAGGAGCGGGTTGCCATGCCCCAGCCAGGACCTCAACCCTCCCCAGGGAAGCCAGGCCAGAGCTGTCCAGTGCCAAGAGCAGCCTCTGCATTTGTCAATTGAGGCTTGTGAATTGCATGTGCCAGTTGAGGGAGTGACCACACCATCGGCAGAGGGCCGGGTGGGGGGGAATGCAAAAAAGCTGCAGGTAAACCCAAGAATGACCCCCGAAATCACTCCCCTGTGCCTTGAGAGCAGATGACCTCCCTGACCCCGGAGAGAGCCACAGATGTTCCCAGAATTGTGGCTCTAAGGACTCCAAGAGCTGTTACAACAACTCATTTCATCGTTGTTAAATTATTTTATTATGCAAGTGTCCACTAGAAAAACTAGGAAAAGGTGGGGGCGGGGGGAAAGTCCACGTGGACGTCCCACACTACTGAGGGTTTTGGTATACGGCTTTTTGAATAGCTTTTTAGTGATAGACCGTCTTGCAGCTTGCCGTTGTGCTGTAACATGCCAGGGAACTTTTTTCCATGTTAAGCTCATTCTTGTTAACAGTTGCTGAGTATTCCCCTGCACCGGTGTGTCAGTGTTTCTCTCACCTGTGGGTTTACACAGCCATCTGTATGTGTCCCAGGATAAATTCGTACAAGTAAATGCTGGGTCAACCTGAAGGTCTACCTGGCCTCTGAAACTGTTCTCCCACCAGGAGTGCAGCTGCCCAGCTCTCACTGGTTCTGAATTGTATCATTCCTTTAAGTCCAAGTTGGGGCATGTCTGTATTTTTCAGTGTCTACCACTCCCTGGACTAACAAATTTCCAAAACAGAACCCCTGCTGTTCTGATAACATTCCAACTAAATGTTTCTGTATGTATGTTAGGATAGTTCCTGGCGCAGCACTCAGAAAGATTGGCTATTGTCGTCACTACTCTGAATTTTACTCCACAGCCTCCCAAGTGTGTCACAGAGGGTGGCGTGCCCACAGACCCAGCTCCGTCCCTGTAGGTCTGTGCTAGCAACTTGCTCTGCTTTCCTTGCCTCAACCCCCTCATCTGTAAAATGGGCCTAATGACGGCAACTCTCCAGGATTGGGGTGGGAATTCTATGAGCTAATGGGGGCTTGGAGCTTGGTAGATGCTCAATAAATAGTCACCACCTGTGATAGGTTGTATCATCCAGTATCTCACGTTCTTTTAGTACCCTGCTGCTTCCCCATCAGGAGTCAGAGCCTGCTTTCCTGCCCCTTGAAAGCTGGTGGGCTTGTGACTCAGTGTAGTCAGATGAATGTGCTGGGCTGACGCGGGGCAGAAAAGGCAGCTTGGGCACCTCCTCCCACTGCCTTGAGTCCGCCCTGCTGGGAGGAAGGCCAAGCTAGCCCACACCAAGTGAGCACGTGATGAGCCGCGCCGCTCCGGGACACCCCAGGCCATAGCTACTTAGCCAGCCTCCCCAGATTCCCAGCCCAGGGGAACAATGAAAGAGGACAAAAGACTGTTTGTTTGTTTTGTTTTGACCGCACCCGTCAGCTTGTGGGATCTTAGTTCCCCGACTGGGGATTGAACCTGTGCCCTTAGCAGTGAAAGCATGGAGTCCTAACCGCTGGACCGCCAGGGAAGTCCTGAAAGATTGTTGTTTTAAACCACTCCATTGAGGAGTGATGAGCTGTGCCGTGGGTGACAGAACCCTCTGGGGTTGGGCCTTGCAGGTGCATCCCCCTTAGACCTCTGCCAGGCCAAACTTCACCCCGATGCCCTGTGTGAGCCCTGCTGAGCCTTCCTGAGGTCTGGGTGGTGTTGCTGGCGGTGTCGGCAGTAGCCGACTCTCTGGGGCGGACTCTCATGGGGCTTGGGTGGGGCTCTGAGCACTTGGCCCCGTGACCTCATTTACCCGACAGAGTAAGTTACTTTGCGGATGAGGAAACCAAGCCTAGCGGAGAACTTGCAGCCTTGAGGGTGACATCTGGGCCTCCTGGGGGTTCACCATGCCACCCCATCCCTACCATGGTCCTGGGTCTCTGATGCATCTCCAAATACCAAACCCTCAAGATGCCGAAAGAACTGCCACGGGGCTTAAGCCTTCTGTTGTGTGCACCCCGAGCTGTCGATGGTGATGTTCTCAGCTACAGAACATTGGAGGCACTCACCTGGACTGCTTTGCTGTGAGGAGCCCACAGACGTCTCCCACGCCGGGGCCATGTAGCGGCCAGACGGGCCCCTGAGGTTCTTATTATGATTGCAGGACGCCTTCAGCAAAAACCATCATGGAATGTTGAACGAGATTTATTGCTCACAGGTCCTGCGGGTACACACAGCCAGATTGTGGGTAGAATGAGGGTGCGGGTGTGGGGCTGGGCTCTGCCTTTATGACGGTGTGAGGGTGGGGTGTCTAGGGTTTCACGGGGTCATTCTTTATTGGTGAATTTAAAGCATAGGAACAGGAATTAGGGTGTGGGAAGGGAGCAGCGCGGTTACTCAAGCTGTCAGTCGCTAGGTTACCCCGGACTTCCTGAATGAGGGCCCTTCGTGGGTTGGGGGACGCTTCAGTCCTTATCTGGTGGTTCTGCTGGTGGCTACGTGTTTATTCCAGGTGGACGGCTTTTGAAATGGACGCTTACTGTCAGGCACTTACACTACGTCATCCCAAACCCTCAGGAGAAACGTCCCTTTATCTTTGGCCTGTGGAATTCAAAATCCGGCCCAGGGAGCTGACCAGGGTGCCTGAAAGCCCCCGGGCATTTCCCTGGCTCCTTCCCGGGTGTGGACACGAAACCTCCTTTATCCAGCTTTAACAACAAGCGCAGAACCTCGTGTGTGTTTGTGTGTGTGTCGGGGGGGGGGGGGGGGT